GGAGTCCCTGAACTGCAGGGAGTTCACAACTCCCCAGCCTCCCTGGATGTCAGCGCTGTTGCCAGGTCCCAAAGCACAGGGTCATTTGGCCTGTCCAGCTTCTTTACTTCAACTCTGTGTGGCTAATATTCTCTTTCTTTAAAGTCCAGGACACTCAGGAATGATCTGGCAACTGTGAAGTTAGGTTGTTAAGATTCCCCAGGCACTCATGCCCTGACTATGAGGCTGTACTGAGCATTGCTGGAGCCCTGCTTCCTTGGGGTTAACATCGACTCTATCAGAGCTAGGGAACCTTTTTATGAGTCCCAGGTGTCCATGCTACAGGTAGCAGGCTGCCTGTTACCAGAGACACCCAGCTGGGATTTCCACTATCACACTGAGAGGGCTTAGATGACCCCTGAGGTTACTGACGAGGCTCCTATGTGGACACGTAACAGCTTTGGAGTCAGACAAGTCTGGGAGCAAGTCTCAGTTCTCTCACATACCTGATTCCCTTCTTAAAAAAAATATTAAAAAACAGTCGCAGGCTGCTGTGGAGTAGATGAGACAGATCCCCAGAGCACCAGGAGGCAGGCAGGTGCTGGCTGAAATCCCCACCCCCTCTCTTCACCCAGGGAGAGGGCTCTATACTGGAAACAAGCCTGTTTTAGAATAAACAGCCACTTGACTTCACTGGATACATGATATATACACCACAACAGTGTTTGGCTTGTTTTTACTTCTCCTACTGTCTGTTTCCAACATGTAGGTCTGGGCCTGTCTGTTTTAGCCAGTGAACTTTTAGGGGCTCTAAGCTGCACTGGGCATAACTGTCTGCCTTCTAATAATGGATGTGACAATAATGAAACCTGTCTTAGAGTTAAATGCTTGTGACCTGCACGGCACCCCTGGGAGGTAGCAAAGACTAGACGGGAATGGTGGGGTAGACAAGAGACTGCAAAAAAACATGTAGCTGACTGTGGCTACAGAACCAGATCTAGAACATGGTCTGGCTGTGCATCCAGTTGGATGTGTGTGTGTGTGTGTGTGTGTGTGTGTGTGTGTGTGTGTGTGTGTGTGTGTGTGTGTGTGGTGTGGGGGGTGTGTGTGTGTGTGTGTGTGTGTGTGTGTGTGTATGTGTGTGTATGTGTGTGTGTGATGTGTGAGGTGTGTGTGTGTGTGGTGTGTGTAGTGTGTGTATGTATGTGTGTATGCACCCACCTTCAGAGGCCAGAGGTTAATGCTGGGCATTTTCTTCTATGCTTTCCACCTTACTTATTTGAGCAGGATTTGTCTTTCACTGAACCTGGAACTAACCATTTCATCTAGGCTGGCTGGACAGCTGGCTCCGGCGATCTGCCTGTCTCTGAGCCCCAGTGCTGGGGTTACAGAAGCATGTGACCACAGCTTTTTTAAAAATGCAATATTTTTTATTAATCCATACAAAGGATTTTGATCACATAAACCCACCACATCCATACCCACCCAACTTCCTGTCCTTCTTTGTTTTTTGAAAGCCCATTGAGTCCGATTTGTGTTCCTAAATACTCTTGTGTGTGTGGCGATTCCCTGAAACTTGGTTAACCTACCAGGAATCACACCCTTAAAGGAAACTGACTCTCCCAGCAGCTGTCAATTGCCTATAAAGACTTAGCTAGGGGTGGGACTTTGTGCCCAACTCCCCGCTCCATGCTGAGATTTTGATCTGACTTGGGCTTTCGCTGGTCTTGCACAAGCTGTTACAACTGCTGTGAGTGTTCATATCTGCAACTGCCCTGCTGTGTCCGGGAAACCATTCCCTTTACTCATCTACCACCTCTGACTCTTGCAGTCTTTCAGCTCCTTCTTCCAAAAAGAGGGGGGAGGGAGTGATACAGATGGCCCATTTAGGGTTGAGCACTTTGCTATTTCTTATTCTCTGAATGTTGACCAGTTGTGGATCTCTGTGTTAATTGCTATCTACCGTGAAAAGAAGCTTCTTTGATAAAGGTTGAGAGATAATCTGTGGGTATAATGATAAGTCACTAGGAGTCAGTTTAATACTATGTCCATTTAGCAGAATAATAGTATTCTCCACTGGGGTCTATTACCTATCTAGCCAAAGACTACTGGCTGGAAAAGATACTACATACTTGAGTCATAGAACATGGGGAAATCAAGCTGGTAGTGACCTTGCCACTTCACCCCTACTGGCTAGCTTTCATACTGCTGGAAGGTGCTATGCATGCTACCTGGGAGAAAAGTAATCATCAGTCTTAACCAGCTGTGGACCCTGCAAGTTATAATAATGACTTACCTTCCAAGACATGCCCACTGGTGCACTAGTGGCATGAATGTTATGGGACCAAACAAACACTTTCTGATTGAATTTAAGATCCATGCCATGAGATGGAACCCAGCTTCTCATGTGAGTGCTAGGGATCCAAACTCATGTCTGTGCTTATGCAGCAAGCACATTATTTACTGGACCATCTTCCCCCACCATTCTTCCCCTATCCTAGACATTTTAATCACAGTATGCTCCCTAGCTCTTTTGTACTGGGCATGACTTGAGTGCAGGTAGCCAAGTTAGATGGTAAGTTTCCATGTGGGCTAACAATAGCACCATGTATATAAGAAAGGCTTTTTCCTGGGACCCTTCAGGCCTGGTATCTGGGGTAGATGAGGCCTCATCATGGTGTAATGCTAGAGGAGGCAAAGTCATGAGCTATGGCCCTGTTTCCATAGTTCCTGGGTAAGGAGCAGAGCAGAGAAGCATGACTAGTGTGGCAGGTGGAATTTTTCACGTGCTTTCAGGTCCATCTTGCCTTAAAGTGATGAGCAGTCAGCACCTCTTCCCTTCCCTGAACTACTACACATACACACTTTCACTGTCGCTTCTTGCTTTCCTGGCATGTTACACTCTGTGTTTTATCATACATGGAAAGGTGAGATCCTCCCTAGCTGTAAGGGTCTTGCAGTCTAGTTGGTGAGTCAACTATACGATGGAGGTAGACAAATGAATGTGCCGGAGAATAACTGAAAGAGAGAAAGAGAAAAATATACTACAGCAAAAATGAGGTTTAGATCCTGACTGAGAATGAGAAGCAGGGATTCAATGGACGGGCTGTGTGGAATTCTAGGTGTGAAGGATGAAGGGCATGGCCTTGGGCCATCCATGGAAGGGAAGGAAAGAAGTCTGATCACAGGGAATAGGTGTCATCGTGTAGTCTGCCCAACTGCCCTCACAGACCTTGGCTCCTGAAAACAGCCTAAGGCTTTTATTTTTGTACAAGACTGTTTCCTGATTGGGTGGGCATCTGACCTAAATTCAACTAATCTGTAGGCTCACCAGAGACAAGGCTTGTGTGAAAGAACGAGCCCAGACTGGTTGGTTTCCCCTCTAATGGCTCAGAACTAGAAAACACTGAAAGAAGGGGACAGTTGTTGGTGGATGTGTTAGTTACTTTTCTCATTGCTGTGACAAAAGCTGTTTGAGCAAAGAAAGTTTATTTGGGCTCATGGTTTGAGGACACATCTTGGTGGGGAAGGCCATGGTAGCAAGAGCCCAAGGCAGCTGGTCACATTGCATCTGCATCCAGAAAAGAGAGAATGATGTGTGCTGATGCTCAGCTTGCTTTACTCCTTTAAAAACATTTGTCCATCTATCCATCCATCTGTCCACCCATCCATCCATTCGTTCATGTGTATGCATGTGAACAAGCACATGCTTATATGGATGGACAATGTGGCACAGCGCACGTGTGGAGGTCAGAGTACAACTTTTTGGGAGTTGATTCTCTCCTTCCACCATTGTTGGTCCCAGGGTTTGAACTCAGGTCATCACTGGTGTCTCTACCCAGGAAACAATCTTGCTGGTCCAAGCTTTCTCTTTTTACTCAGCGTAGACCACAAGCCAATGAGGTGGCACTGCCTAAATTCAGGATGGGTCTTCCCTCATCAGTCAAACCTCTCTGGAAATACTCTCAGAGATACACCCAGAGGATGGTCTCTAAGGTGAGTCCAAATCCCATCTAGTTGACCATCACCATGGGAAAAGCTGCAAGGATCAGGTGGTTGATGAGCAGGGATTTCGAGATGGAAAGAAGTCACAGACTGGGGAATTGAAGGGCTGTGCAGCAGAGGATATGAGGGAAGGTCTCAACGTAAGCCACGTCACAGTCACTGCAGCATTGGAGGTCCACTGTTCAGATGTCCACTATCTGGGGCCAAGAGGGTTGCTGCAGACCTAGAACCAACCTCTTCCTACTGTTCCTACTTCCAGTGCCAGGTGATTTGGCTTTCTCTGGGTTTCTGGGTCCACACTTCCTTCAAGAAACCCTGAATACATACTTCCCAGTATGGTTCATGCAAACAGAATATATGTGGGCTAATCTTAGAGACCTGAAGAGGGAGGATCAGGCACATATGCACACATACCCAGAGGGAAATGCACGTGCAGACTCACTTACAATGCAGAAATCCCACAAGGAACAAGTGGTGGGGCTGTGGAGACTGCTGGGGAAGGGAACATGTAGGGGCCTGGCTGGAGCACCCCCCCCCTTGGATTGTCCACTTGGAAGAACTGTTGGCTACAGTGCTAGAAAAGGCCAATTTCAGTTTCCTCTACGATGTAGATGCCATTTAAGATCAAATTATCTTCTCATATACCTAAAATACGATTACTGGAAAATGATGATGTTGCTCTTGGTCTGAGGTGGGGCAATGTGATGTTCTTTAAGAGCAGAAGATGATGGTCCAAAGGGGAGCAAGTCCCCCACTGCTCCAAAGCCCATTTCTGGGTAGTGTTTGTCTTCTGTCTGCCCAAGACTCTGCAGGGTGGCTGGCCCTTCTTCACTGTGGTTCTTCACATACCTTTACTATGTGTCATGTATCCATGTCCTCCTGGCACCCACCACCTACTGTTTTGGTTACAGCCAGTGGAGGTCTGTGTTTGTGTCTGAGAGTGTCTTTTACTCCTGGACCCTGGATTTGCAGTCAGGGGCCTCCTTTCTAGCACTCTGTGCCGGGAGACCTTTGACAAGTCACAGACAACAGCACACCTCATGTGAAAAGTGGGAACAATGCCGACTGACCAGCAGCAAAGGCATCTGTCTTCTAGAGTCAGGGATGGAGTGTCAGTGTTTGGGAAAGCTTTGTAAATGGAATTGTGGTGCCACATGAGAAACTGATACTGCTTTCCCCTTGTAAGGACTGTCCATCTCAGTTTTTTCTTATGGCTCTTTCACAGCTGGGCCATAGCAAGATTAGCACATTGCTGAGCAAATAGGAGGAGTTGAACAAATAATTGTAGAATGTGATCATCGCTGTTTTCATTTTCACAGATTCCTTGTTAACGCCTGTCTGGGGCCTCTGGAGGACGCACCCTCCTGCACTGCTGACAGAGAAGCACAGGGTCCATGTGACCATGGAAGGCTTCAGAACCTTGCCAGGAGAGAATAAACACTAGTTAAACATCAAAGTTCAATGCATTTTGGAGGCTCAGAAACATGATGAGTGAATGACTGAGCTGCGAAAGTAGCTTGTGGAAACAGCCTAAAGATACTGACTGAGATAGAGTGGGGCAGAGGAAACTGCTTTTATCAAATTCATCTAAGAAGACCTTTCAGAGGAAATGGTTTGGGAATAAGTGAGCTGAGGGTGGGATGGGCATGGTGGAGAAGGTGGTCATTGAAAACTCCAGACCCCTGAGTATTGGTTGCTTCTGTGGGACGAGGTGGTGAGATGCCTCCAGGCTGGTACATTTCTCTTGACAGCATAGAATGATTAGAGGTGTTTGTGTAGTATATGTGTATGAGATGTTTGGGAGAAGCCCTGAAAAGATATTCCTGCATACTGTGGCCATTAAAGATGTGGAACTTAAAACAGGAGCTAAAGTCCGAGGAAGGGCTAACAGATGAGGGCAGGTTAAAGAAAGCGGCACCAAGATCCATACTCCAATTTAGCTTAGGTTAGAATTTAATTTAGCTGTTGCTTTTCATGTGAAGATTTACCATTGAAACTGAGTTTTTATTTACTTGCTGCTTATTGTAGAGAACTGTCCCTTCCCCAACATTCCTACTTGTTCTAGGCTTCAAAGTACTGCAAGTGTCAGACATCTAAACATTGGTCTGAAATTTTTCAATGTGCACATTCACTTTGCATGTGGGACAAGGCCTGCACCTTCCTTCTGTCCAAGCCAAATGGCCCACGGCCATTTCTGGGCTTAATCTACTTCTACAGCTCCTGAAGCCTCAGACATGGTCTTGACACTGTATAATGTTTATACATCTTGTGTCCTTTTCTGTAAATAGCAAATATCAACAGTCCTTACCTTACAGCATTATTGAGGTGGATCACTGAGGTCATCACTGGCATATAAATGTCAGAATCCATTTCCAAACCCCAGAAAATACACAAGACACCAGACCACAGTGCCTACTTGGTGGAGACCGATGCACTGGACATGTTGATTCTTTGTTACCTCCATCAGTAGGAAGAACCACACTTGTTGACCTAAATACCAGCTAGTCTAATGAGGTCTATATTTTGTTAAATTTGTTATTATACTAGGGAGGCAATTAACTCTGGGTGTCTACTATGGGCTAGATGCATTAAATATGTGATTCTTTTTTGAATTCTTATTTTAGTCCTCAAGGTATGTGAGTTGCTTAACTGGGTTGCTCTGGATGACAGAAGGAAATGAAATGAATATTAAAAAAAAAAACAGATTTAAGAGACCATAAAGTTGAGTGTTGCAAGATGGTACCAGGAGTCTCTTAACCATTTTCTTTTCAACCTATTGCAATGTATGTCCTGGCAGCTATTTGATAAGACTGATTTCACCCTTCTTGAATATCTCTCTTGTGCAACTCTAGCTGTTTTCTCAGTCTTTCTTAAAAGTGAGCTTTGCCTCCGGGTCTACCCCCCAGCTATTCCCTCTTCCCCACACCCTGTGACTGTTACCTTGAAAGATTGTTTCCCTTCCACTACCACAGATTTCTGCCAACCCCAGATCAGCTCCCCAAGCTTCAGACTAAACAGTCAATTACCAATTACCTCCCAGAATTTCCTCTTGGTTGTCCTTCGGGCACATTCAATTCTCCGTGTTCAAAACTGAACGTACTGGCTTTCTTCCTCAACACTTCTTCATGATTCCTGGTTTGAGGAGTAACATACCATCGAGCTAGCCCCCCACACTGGAGCTGGGAATTGGTTGAGAGCTGTCCCATCCTCCCCTCTCCACATCCACTCTTAACTAAGTCCTGCTGACCTGCTCTTGTCCTCATCTCTTCCTCCTTCCTGTCTCCCATCCTTGTCCTAATTAGATGCCCATTTTCTGATGAACTTCAGCTTTGTTACCTGAAGTTCAACTTCTGTTCCTTTTATATCAGAGCGATGATGTCATAAATCCATAAAGTTGCTTTATGCCTGTGTAACTTCCTACAGTCCTTAAAATGAATGAGCAGTCATCCATGGGCTCTCTCTATCACCTCTCTCCACCTTCTTTCTGACTGCAGGATCTGCCTTCTCTCTCTCTAGATAATCCAGACCATCTCTGGTTTGTGCCGTTCTGTCTGGGAAGCTTTTATCTTCCACTTCAGTTTAGAGGTCACAGACCTTTCTGAAGGGCCACTTCTGCCTTTGAACACCTCTGACCCCCTCCTACACACATGCACATGTATACACACACACACAGACACACACATACAGACATACCCACACCCCTACCATGAGTTGTCCAATATCTTCATTTAGTTGAAACTGTCTTGAGAGTGATGGTCATGTCTTATTCACATGTCTCCACACCTGTGTTTAGCACATAGTGGGAGTTCAACCAGTGTCTGTTGAATAAATGAGTGAAGAAGTTAACCGAAAATTTCAATACAGACGAATCTACGGATCTGAGTGAGGCAAGCTTTGCTTTCTTCCACTAGAGGGCACTCTCGCCGTGTGCTTCACGGGAGGCCCGCAGCCCGCACCAGCTGTGACCTGAGCTGCCCAGAGATGCTTAGGATCCCGCCAGTCTCCTAATTGGCGCCTGTCATTCTCTGAATTCAGATATACCCTTTGCTCTCTTTTCACTCTTCTCTCACACTATGTTTCCCCTGGACGTACATAACGCTCAACTATGGCAAATCCAAACCTTTCCTTGCTTCCTGTAGTGGTGGCCCAAAAGTTTAAAAAAAAAAGAATCGGAGGACGCTATTAACAATTTATGAGGGTGTCATTCGCCTTTTGCTTTTATTGCCTTTGAGTAACACAGGACATATTTTTTGGTGAGAGGTTGGGGTTGCCTGAGATCATCCCCGTAAATCACTCCGTAGTGACCCGCCTGGGAGTGCTGAGTCCCCAACTGTTGTTTCAGGGTGCAAGTCCATCAGTATGCATCTCACAGCACTCCTGAGTGCTCAGTGTTCTGACCCTCTGAAAGCTAGTGTCCACTTGTACATTGGGTTTCCCTTTTTAAAAACTGTTGTACAAGTATTGCATTCTTCTGTCTCCGTATAACGTCTTCTCTTCGCGGAGTTCCACCATACTTCCTGCTGTGAAACCACACTTGAATTCTCGTGTTCTGTTCTATACATCTTGTTTAAGACAGGGAATAAGCTAAGGTCAGTATCAAAGAAGGGTTACCAGCATGGTGTAGACTCTGGGAGCTGTGCCACCCTAGAGTCAGCTGAAGCAACGGGGTCTGTAAGCCTTGGAGGGAAAAGATACAGGGATGATATGCTGACTTCCTGTCCTGTGGAAGGCTTCTGCATCATTAACCTGTGATACAGAGGTAAGGGTGAATTGTTTCCAATACCAATGAAGTTCCCAAGACTTCTTGTATAGAGCACAGCTAGGAGAGTGTGATATGAGAGGAAAGAGAAGTTTAAAAGCTATGGGCTAAGTTAGATTAGTTTCCCATCAAGAAGGCTGGTGGGGTTGGGGCACTGGAGACTGCCTGGCTAGAGATGGTCAAAACAGAGAGTTTGGGGGGGCGCCTCTACCCAAATCAAAAGAATACCACTGGAAAAGAAGATTGTAAAACGTCTATGGGCAATTATTTGATTACCTTTTAATAATCTTTGACAAATCCTAGAACATTTATTGAATTTCATTTTCTCCTATTATTGTTTTATTTGAATAAGACTTTATTGCTGGGCGTGGTGGTGCACATCTGTAGTTCCAGTACTTGGGAGGCAGAGGCAGGCAGATATCTGTGAATTCGAAACCAGCCTGGTCTACATAGAGAGTTCCAGGACAGCTGGGGCTACAGGGAGCCCTGTCTCAAAGAGACCAAAAAAAAAAAAAAAAAAAAAAAAAAAAAAAAAGGACTTTATTGAGACAGGAACACAGGGAACTCTGGGATTACAAGGATTAAATGAGGAACATTGTATAGCAACCTGTCAAAAGTAGGATGGTCTTCTTTACGATGTGAGATTCACTGCGTTCAGTTGAGCATCTGTCAAGTAGATTCCATGGCTTCTAGAATCTCAATTCTGAAGTCACTGACTTCATTAAAATGGCAAATTGCCAGGCAAGTTTGAATGTCTTGCTTTCTGCTCCTACAGAATGGTGTCGGTCTATTAAAAAGTAGGTAGCTCACAAGGAGATGGTGGGCTTCCAATCTATGCGGGAAGGCTCTTTTCTTGTAGTTCATTTAACCTTAGAGACCTAAGTCACTCCCATCCCTAACTATTGAGGGGCCATCCTGCACTGCAGTGCATATAGTGGGAACACCTAAATAAAAAGGCAACAGCTTAACTTCATGAACATTTGCTGAGGACATCCAATGTTCTGGAACAGAGTAGGTTCTGGGAATGTCTGTGAGGATTGCTGCAGCACAGTGGGTTGAGTTCATTTCTATGGGAGACAGAGCCATGAAGCCTTTGCAATGCAAAGGCCCCAGCATGGATAGAAATATGTACCAGGAGGGAGTAATGACAGGAGGGCAGGAAAAGTTTTCCTGATCAGGACGTGTATGTGTGTGTGTGTGTATGTGTGTGTATTCCTGTGTATGCAGATACGCATGGAGGTTACAGGACAACCTCAAGTGTAGTCCTTAGGAATGCCATTCACCTCCTTTGAGACAGGGTCTTTCACTGGCCTGGAGCTCTGCAGTTAGGCTAGATTGGCCAGTGAGCCCTAGAGATCCTCTTGTCTGCATCTTCTTAGCTCTGGATTACAACTGTGTGCCACCACACCCAGCATTTTCACATAGGCTCTGGGGGTTGACTCAGATTCTTACCTTTACCAACTGAGCCATCTCCCCAAGGCCAAATGGTCCATTCTTTAGCAAATTTGGAGTGGGTGGGACTTTCCAAGTAAGCAAGGGCAGGGAAAGGTCATTCCATGGAGAATAAGCACTGTGGGTCAAAGAGTAGATATGGCCATGTAATGAATAAATGGAGGAGCTAGGGCCAGGGAGGGGCTGTGTGGCTGGGGTCAAGGGTCCAGTTAGGAGGTTGCATGCTCTGAGGACATGCATGAAGAGGTTTATCCTCTATGGTAAGCAGTCTTAGCTTTGTCCCATAGTCCTTAAATCTTAGCACTCTTTGGGGGATCTATTGTGCCATCAGGACTTAAACTGAGTGTGTGATGTTGGTGTTCTGAGAAGAAATGCATTAGGGCTGGGCACCTATGTGTGTATGTGTGTGTGTGTGTGTGTGTGTGTGTGTGTGCGTGTGTGTGTGAAGTGGTGCCTCTGGGTTCATTGGTCCCCTGTAATCTCTGTATATGTCGACTCTAGGATGCTGATTTTTACTAGACTCTTTCTGCTGGACACATTTAGCTTGCAATCTTTTCTTAAGGCTACTAAGTTAAAGTTGTTGTGGTTTAGATTTGTTTTTGATCTTTGGAAAGAAAAATTCCCTTGCTATTTTTTTTTTCAATTTCTTCCTTCTCCCTCTCAAATTCTGTGCTTGTTTAATCTTGTTAAAACAATTAGAATTGCTTTAAGGAAGCCAGAATTGGAGCATCTTGGGGAGGGGGCTGGGGACCAACACATCCAGCTTTTTGTTCTCCTAGAGCCCTTTCTGTCCCTGCCTTCCTGCCAGCTGATTATCACTTGTGATGAAGAGCCCAGGGGGGTGTCTCTCCAAGGTCCCACTCTGGGTGGAGATCAGTTTGCTCTTTGTGTGTGAGAGGGGAGGTTTACTGTTTTGATTTTCATTTGATTAAAACCTTTGGGCCCCATCCAAGCAAAACTGTGAGAGGCAACCCTGGCTTGCCCCTGAGGAAGCTTCTGCACTGCCCTGCAGGGTGCAGTAGGATTAAGCCTGGGCAGGAGCTACCCTTGGGTTGAAAGGGTGTAGACACCTTCTTTTCTCTCAGGCTTCACTGCTACTGTAGCCTCAGCTTCCTGGGGCTTTCCAGGAGCTGTCTGTTGCTCTTTTCAGCGGGTTTCTGGGGGCCAGCAGCTTCCATATTGCATGGAAGCCAAGTGCTGTTAGGGCCAGAAGCATCTTCCTCAAACTTAGAGAAGTGAGGGCTGAAAGTTAGAATGCTTACAGCAGAATAGGGAGCCGTACTGCAGTTCACTTGGAAGTAGGAAAAATTGGCCAGCTATGTTTCAAATGTGATTTTACTAGTCTTCATGGTAATGTACGTCACATCCATCCTCAGAATGCTCCTCATGGAGCCTTTACTGTTAGTTCCACTTTTTCTTTTTCTTTTCTTATCTTTTTTTTTTTTTTTTTTTTTTTTTTTTTAAAGCTAAGGTCTCCCTGTAGCCCCAGATGGCCTGCTGGAACTGGCTGTATACACCATACTGGCCTTGACTTCACAGAGATCTGTCAGCCTCTGCCTCCTGAGTGTTGGGATTAAAGGCATGTGCCACTGTTCCCATTTTACAGAGGTGGAACTGAGGCTTGGCGCAGAAAGAGTAGTTAAAGAACTTGCCTTGGTTCCTGGGGTGAGAACTAGCTAAGCTTAAAATCCTGTGCCTTTACATTACCCCAGCAGGGAGTTAATGCCTTGAAAGTCATGAAGGTTTTTCAGGATGCCATTGAATATGATCTATTGAATTTCCTCAAATGAGCAAGGAACATGGCCCCCCCGCCCCCCCTCCCCCCTGCAAACAAATGATTGTGTTCTATGCAGGCAACACAAAACCGCAAACGCAAGCAGCCTGGGTCATGAAAAGCAACTGCTGGAGGACATAGGTACGTTCTTTTTGGAGTTTTCCCATTAATTGCTTCTACTCATTCATTTCTTTCGTCTTAGGCTAGATCTGGCTAACAGACAAGTGGTAACAGGCAGTAAGGTGGGACGAAAATGTATGAGAGTCTACAACTGAGAATAGTCTCTAGGTTCACATTTTTTGATGCATTGGGAAAGCTGCTACCATTTGATCAAGTGGTGCACCCCGACCCCAGGTATGCTCCCACAGCAACAGCCTCTAAGAATCTTCAATTCCGAGCCACACTAAACATGAATGGGGGAAGCAGGTGTGTGCAGGGGAGGGCGTGCATGGAGTTTGCTTCTGAGCTCTGGGTGATGTATACAGCACCTTCTACATCCTTGCTGCTTGCTTAGATTACTGTCAGGATGACTGGAAATGCCCAAGTACTCTGATGCATCTACGAACTTGGCCAAGAGTGCTACAGGAAGGGCAGGTGGGCTGGTACTATCTATCTAGAGCTTTAGAAATGGTTGGGGAATAATTTCCCAATTGGATTACCTAGCAGTGTTTTCTTCCGGAACGTTCTAGAACAGTCAGATTCACAGACCACCATTCTTTCTGCCTTGCAAACATTCTCCCTAAAGACAACAAGGGCACTCTACAGAGTCTTATCATTATTTTCCTTCAGGACTTGAAAGTGGAGCACTCCCTATGCCTGCCATGCACAGGAGGATCTG